GTTGCTTCAGCACGTCAGGAAAACCCGGTAGGACAAAACCTGATCATCTTGAAATCATAACATTGTTTCTTCAGGAAAACCCAGTGGGACAAAACCTGAGCATTGTGGAAGCACAACATAGCTCCCCCTCAAATAGATCATCTTTAGTGGAATATCCATGTGTTGCCTCGTTAAAACCTTGTCAAGAAAACCCAGTGGGAAAAAACTTGATCGAAGGAAAAAGAGTACAGCTACTCCAGTATCTTTTATCATCGTGAAGAATCATATCATTTATCCAGTAGTCCTCATCATACCATGAATATGCCTCGTTAAAACCTTATTAGGAAAAACCCAGTGGGACAAAATCCTAATGAAGGAAAAAGAGTACACTATTCATGTGAATACGCCATCCTTGTTGCTTCATTAAAAACCTTGCTAGGAAAACCCAATGGGACAAAACCTCAGCCAAGGGAAAAAGAGTACAACGCGTATTTCATATATTCACCATAATAATCTTTCCATAATTTGCATGAGTATCATATAAATTCTTTCGGATTTGTAGATACTGATGGTATTCACGACAATATGTCATATCATGCTTTGTGCAATTTTTATTCTTAAACTCATTCTCATCATCAATTGATTTCAATGGTCTTATTTCCATTAATTCCCAATATTCACATTTCAGCTGATTTCATTTTCGACAATATTATTTATATAGCGCTATTCATTTGTTTATGTCGACACTTATCCATTTCCATTATTCCCCGTAATATATTGAGATATCTCACTATCAATTGATTTCATCAATATATATGCCTCCTTTCATCACTTATTTGGGGGATTTCAATTTGCACAATGTCAACGCTTCCAGCGTATTATTCCACCAACATATCATTTCATATATTTCACATCATCAGTATCATACAGTTTATGATTCGCACACTCTCAGTGTGATGCATATATCATTTCCAAATTTCAATCATTGATTCTCCCCCTTATCTTAACAGATCCCTGATCTGTATTTTTAGTATTGAATTTCTTGAGGGGAGTTCATATAGTCTCTATTTTGTTTTCGATTTCAACATATATTTGGAGGACTTTGAACTCATATCATTTGTAGTGTGCACATTTTTCTTTCAAGAGTTCATCATATCAGGTGAGTATATTACTAGCTTCATCACTTTCATATGACACTTATTTTCATTCTTTCATAATCATCTTGTGTCATCCTTAGATCAAACCATCTCGTAAATTCATACATGTCATATACACATTCTTTGATCAAATCATCTCGTAACTTCAGGTTACGAATCACACACATGTGGCTATCTAGTGGATCCATAATATCTAGTAGCACACATGGAGGGGTAGTGGGCCCATATATATCATACCCCTTTTATACTCAGATTGATCAAATATCGATTCACAAATATTTAACTAGTAATATTTTTCACCAATCGAGAACAAACATCTCATATAACAAAGAATAAGTTCATCATGCAAACCATCATCAATAATATCGGCAAACATTTTTAAAATGATCACAATAATTCGTTGTGACACGTTTATCACAAACATTTCACATCATCTTTCGGCGGCAATAAATGCACTTTAAGTGTGTGCTCTGGCAAAATGTCTTTTAGCCACTGTTTAAATCCAGAATCGTGTCATGCCGTCTGACACACATACTTTTGAACACTGTTTAAGCCCAGAGTCGTATCGCATACGCATCATGTTTTTCTATAAATTATCAGGTAATTCAATCAATTTTCTTTAACAAATGTCCGAATTTACAAATGGATTTAGCACTCTCAAATATCCGTAAATATTATTCTTTTCTTCCGAAAAATATCATAATAAAGATTTATCGATCTCGATTAGAAAGATTGAGGATGCTAATGAATAATGGTATTCCAAATGATGTTCGATGGTTGATCGAAGCACAAGTTCGATTGTCTGGAGAGTTTCCTTATTCATATAAATATATGCCAGGTATGGGTAAAACTACTTTTGCAAAGAAACGAAGAGCAAA